ACCCAGTGATTTTTGTTGACCTTTAAAACCAATCAAAATGAAAGTAATACAATATAGGTCAGTCTAGACACTTCTAAGGTTTAAATAAGTAACAACGTTCAAGTGAATATCTTTCCCCCCTCCCCATTCTGAGTTCAGTCTTTGAACAGCTAATAGAGCTTTGTGGTGCCTTTAGAAATAGTGTAACTGGTAGCGCATAACGGTTTAGAGCAGTGCTTCTCAGCTGAGTGGACACTGGAATCACCTCAGAGATTCTGATTCAGCAGGTCTGGGGGTCGGGGCATATTTGTATATTTAACAGTTTCTCACAGGATGCTGAATTCCTGCTCTACCACATTTCAGCTGTGTGATTTTGAACTAAAATTCCTTAGCCTCCCTCTGCCTTATATTCCTCTTCTGTGCAATGGGGGTAGTCATAGAGTTGTGGGGGTTAAATAGATGAAAATATTTAAAAGGTTATGTTACAGAACAATACGATTTTGCTACTATCCCAGTCTGTCAGTGTGTATCCAACTACTGGTTATGAGTTTTAATGTAACAAAAGAGATAATTCTATAGACACTTCAGTCGTCTGCTTTATTCGCAATAATAATCTTCATGCACTTACACAGACATAATCAGTCCTTTTGAATTCTGCTTTACATAAAAATCATAGTTTTGACGTACCTTCTGAGGCTGTGCTAGTCCTCTGTACGTGACCCCACTGGTCGTCTCCAGGCACAAGCTAACATAAGCTGTACAGCAAGCAGCACCCTTGCACATGTCCTGACAAATATTCTGTGAGCATATTCATTGAGTAAAACCCTTGGAGGTGGGTGGCTAGGCCAAAGTATATGTGTATTGTACATTTTGGTATCTGGAAAATTAAACTATAAATATGCATTCTTGGGAAGGCTACATTTGTTACTCAACCAAGTCTACCCCAAATCCTGATGTTTTCTCCATTGGACTTCCTTGTCTTCATCTCCAAAATGAGGATGAGAAAGTAAAGAAACAATGTATCACTCAGTTGACGCTGAGCTGCTTGTTCAGCATGGAGTGAGAGGCCGAGGATCCAGAATTGGTTAAGGCATGTCCTCCGTGCTCAAGGGGCCCTGCTCCAGGAAGGTGATCCCCCAAGAAAACAGATGTATTGCAGTCTGGCATGGGAGATGCACTGATAGAGCAATGCACACAGATGAGAGACTGCACAGAAAGTAAATCAGGTGGGATAAAGGCTCAGGAAAAGCTTCAGGAGGACAGGGTGAGTGTGTCTTCCAAAGTGAGCGCAAGTGGACAGGAGGGAAAGGCACTTTAGAGATTCAAAACAGTATGTGCGAGAGCCCAGGAGCTTGGTGCTCCTAACGGCACCTGATGTCAGGTAGGTAATCAAGGAGTGCTAGCTAAACACAATCTCAGCCTTCACAGCTGTTCAACTTACAGAAAACGAATGCCTTAGTTTCTCTCTGATTCAACTAAAGACCAAGAAATCCTTCACATAGGCAACCTACCTCAAAAAAATCCTGAATTTGAGATTTGAGGTTCATGAATAGCTAGCTTAGTGAATGCCTAATGAATTCACACAATCAAGACAAGATCTGCCTCCTTACACTCTAATCACCGGGTTGGAATACAATTATTGAAATAACCTTCAGATGGATCCTGGCCTGGCCTGAAGCACCTGTGCACTGGGTAGAAGTCCCAGGACTCTTGAGTATAGGATGGTCATAGTCACTCCTTCTACAGAGACCCCATTCCCTGGCAGATGGGCCTCGGTGCCACTGAAAACGAGAAGTCCCATCACATACACACATTCCTTACCCCGCTTTTAGCTTGGGTGGCCTACAAGCTCACCCCTTACGTATGAGTTTCATTGATGATCTCACCTGTGTGCTAATAAGAGTTAGGCACTTTATTTTTAGGAAAAATAAAGTGACTGAATTAGTTAGGACTTTTTGTGCTTGCCAAGGCTTAACCTGGCTTGAGCTGGCTTAAGGGAAAAATGCAGGTGTGTCTTCGGAATAGTGATGTTTCGTGAAATGATGGGATGGAAATTGCAGCTGAGCCTCACTAGGGACGGGCTTGGCAACCAGGACTGGAAGCCATACGTAAATCTGATAATTGACTCTGTCTACTTCATGTGCTTGATTCATTGTGTCTTCTGTTTCCTTACAGCCTCTCCGCTTAGTTCCCATGGTGGAATGTCTAGCCCCACAGATCCTGTCTTCACCTGTTAGAGGACCAGCCAGAAGCTGAGACCATCAATCCTGCGCCTGGTCCCAGTTCCAAATTCCTAGAAGATAGAATCTGGTTCGTCCAGCTTGAGTCTGTACTTGCCCTAATCAGCTCCGGGTGGTGAGTAGAGTCACAGAATGACTAATGATTATTGGGGTCTCTTGTGCGTCATGGATCTAAGATGGGAGGTGTCTATTATAGGGACAAATGGATATGTTTAGGGAGAGAGGAAGAGGTTTAGGAAGAAGTGGATTAAATGTTGCTCCAGCCCCAGTTTCTATAAAGCACTGCCACAGGTACATCCAGCTTTGGCAAAGTATCTGTTTTCACGTGAGAATGTTGGACACAATCAATGGTTCTCAGCCTTGGCTTATCATTTGAATGACATGGGGAGCTTTGAAAAGTCTTACTATCTAGGCAACATTCCCAGACCAAATAAACCAGAGTATTTATGGGATCATGGTATCAAATTTTTAAAACGTTCGTTAGATAATTCCAGTCTTCAGCTAAGGTACATGATCCTTATGTGATCACTTGAACAAGACCAGTGATCCTCAAATGAGAATCGAGTAAAAATGAAGATGGTCCATTTAGGTTCCAGGTGCGGCGTGGGAGTCTGTAGTGCCAACAAGCTCCCAGGTGTTGTCAATGTCACCAGCCCACAGATTATGATTTGAGTAGCAAACCACTAAATTACCCCTGAGTCCTATTCTAGCCCCAAGATTTTAAGAGAATATTTACTCCACAAATATTTCTTTTCTGCTCTGAACCAGACCTTGTGCTGAAAGCTAAGGCCCAGAAATCTAGTAAATTTCTGCTACAGATGGGTTCTCATGTAGCCCACAGAGTGTGAGAGAAGCTCGAGAAAATATCCTGTACATACTGCTTTCCAGTTGTATTTGGAAGTCTATCAGGAAAATTTGGTTGTTTTGTTTTGGTTTTGTTTTTAAGAAAATGTCCTTAGTGAAAAGGCAGTTGGCTCAAGTCAGGCGTTAAGGCCACTGGACATGGAAAGAGGGGACTTGGGTATCTAGCAGTATAGAGGAATATGTGCAAAACATGGAGTTTGTGGTGGAGAGAGCAGTTTGGCCCTGAGCACAAAGGACAACCTAGAAACTAGAGCTGGGAATCAGAAAATGGTCTGTATGACTGATAGATACATAGATAGGTAGGTGGCTAGATCCATGAAAGGATCTCCTCTTTTTCAGTGACTCAGTGATGAATGAGCCCACATAAAGAGATGGTGAACATGTTTTAGTACATAACTGGAGTCTCTAATAGTAACAGAACCAAAGTTGTTCCAGTGCTTATGGTGCAAATCTGCTCACATTTAAGTTATTCTATGCCAGAAAGCCAGGAAAGTGTGCACAAATTATGATGCCTTGTTTCCGTATCTAGAGAATGCATCTAAATAGTAGAGGGGGGGAAAGGCCATATGAAATGGCCTGGTTTTCATTCAGCAAATATTCCCTGAGTGCCTACTATGTGCCAGGCATTGAATTTGATCAAAATTTCAACATTGCAACTATGCAGATTATTCATTTGCTATTATCTTTTGGTGACAAGTACAAGCTGCTTTTCTATACATGGTGACGTAATCCTCACCAAAAACTGGGACAGAGGAATCAGGGTGGTGATGCCCTTGATTTTGGCAATGGTGGTGGTGTTGGGATATATTTTCTATTTAAGAAAATGTTTAAATGTGCTCCAAAGTGTCAAAGGACCATAGAAAGCCCCACAAATGGTAAGTAGCCAAGCTGGGGCAAGAATTAGGATGCCCAGATTCCAACCTCGGCTTGCTACTCATTCAGCTATACTGAATAACTAGAATATTAGCTAGTTGCTCAAGTTCAGTTGTGCATTGCACATCCTATGTACTTTCAGAAAGATGAACTAAAATCCAGAGTCTACCAAATACCATGGCTTCATGTAAAGAGAGGGGGAGCTTCACAACTGGCGACTCCTGAAGTTTCATGGAGCTGTCATTTCTGTAATAGTTTGCATTCTTCTCTCTTGACAAGGAAAGCTGAAACAATCGGTCGTAGAGGAAACATTTCATTCTGCTTCACAGATGCACTTCTGTGCCCAATGTAGCTTCTACCTTTATAGCTAATACACATAAAAAGACTATTTAGGCACTTCACACAGTGTGGTTAGCTGAAGAAGTCAGAGGGTTAGAACCGCCCCCAAGAAAATGCCATCTTTTTCAAATGGCCTCGACTTGCCGACCTTGCAATATCCCATCTGGTCACACTCCAAGCCCATGGCACACTGCAGCCAGAATGCAAATATGGTTGCCTCTCTGTAGGGCTGACCATTCTCAAGTGTCTCCCGTCCTCTGCAGAAGGACAACCAGGCTCCTTAGCCAAGCACAATGTGCCTCTTGGGACATGACCATTGCTGACCACTCCAGCCTTATTTCTTTCCCTTCTTTCAGCCTTCCACAATGTGCTTCAGCAAAAGCAAATCACATACAGCTGTAGTCCTTCTAGACCTCTAGGTCTTCTGACGCTTCTAAGTCTTTGATTATGCTGACTGCAGAAATGCTGCCTCTGCCTTCGCCCAGCAAACTGTCACTCAATCTTAAGGACTCACCTTATCCAAAAACACTTCCTAGACCAACCTCAGAATGGAGCAGATTGGCCCCCTTATGTATACATCTATCAAAGTATGCCATATCTGTGAGTTTTATAAAGCAGACTCAATCATTATCATCATCATTGTTACCACCATCACCACCACCCCCACCCCCACCACCCCCTTCAACAATCATTGAGGGTCCACTAGGTTCCAACCACTGTTCTAATCACTTTACCTGTATTCTCATCTTTGATATGCATAACAGCTCCATGGGATTTGAAATTAAATAAATTGACAAACAAACAAAAATCTTGAGCTCCCCAAATGTAACAGTGCCTGGGACATAGTAAACATAGCAACTTCTCAATAATTTATAAAGCTAAATTGATAACAAGTTATTCATTAACTTTAAAAATAGCCTGTATTTTTAGAGCAGTTTTAGATGTACAAAAATATTGAAAGCATAATACAGAGTTTCCATATACCCCACTTCAGTTTTCTCTATTATTAACATTAAGCATTAGTATTGTATATTACTATCAGTGAACCAATATTTATACATGATTATTAACTAAAGCTCATAGCTTATTCTGATTTCCTTAGTTTTTACCCAGTCTCCTTTTTCTGCTCCAAAATCCCAGCCAGGACACCACATTCCATTTTGTTGTCATGTCTCCTTAGGCTCCTCTTGGCTGTGACAGTTGTCAGACCTTCCTTATTTTTGATGGCCTTGAGTTTTGAGGAGTACCAGTCACGTATTTTGTAGGACGCCCCTCTATTGGAACACGGTGTTTTTTTTTTCCTCATGACTAGTCCAGGGTTATGGGTCCTTGGGTGGTAAAGTGCCAGTTGTGTCCTATCATAGCAAGGGGACATACTATCAGCATGATTTATGACTTCTTGTTGACTTGACCACTTGGCGAGGTTGAGGTTGTGCTTGTCAGGTTTCTCCACTGTAATATCACTCGTCCCCCCCACCCCACCCCCTTTACCCTTATTCTTTGGAGGAAAGTCACTGTTCACAGACCACATTTAAGGAGTCTGAGTTATGCTTCCCTCTCCTTGAAGGCAGAGTAGCTACATGATTGTTTGGAGTTCTTCCACCCAGGAAATTTGTCTCCTCGCCCTGATTTGTTAACTTATTCAATTATTTATTGAGATAAGTATGGGCTCATGAATATTTATTTCCTACTTTGGGTTTTAATCCAACACTACATTGTGTTGCTTCAATTGTTCTAGCTCTGGCCTTTGAAAGCCCTTCCATTTAGCCCTTGTGCTCCTTTGAAATATCCCCATCATGTCCACAGAGCAGCACTTCCATACTTTCTGCTTCAGGCTCATCTTGCATATTTCCTTCTCTAGTCCTGGAGTCAGGCATTTCACCCAGAAGCCCTTGTTCCTTGTATTGAAGAATGGTTAGAAACCAAGATCTGGGTACTAGATGTGCTCATTGTTACTGGGGTGTTGTTTCTTTTAGGTCCTGTCAGCTGAGAAAAAATATATATGTATTATATATGTGTAGCATAACTCAATGCATATATACACACACTCAACATATAAATATTTATATCTGTAACAATCTGTATGTAGATTAAGCTAAACATGAGTTCATACTGATATCGCCAACTCTAATCCATTCCCACATAAATCACTCTAGCCTCCTTACCTGCTTATCTGTAAATGTCCTCCAACGGAGAAACCTAACCCCCATCATCTGCCTCCCATTTACTTAATTGTTCAGTTCCCATATGCATGCATAGCAGCATCAGCATTGTTAACCTGTGGAACAACCTGATCAACCTGCGTGCGTACACGTAGCTCTTGCAGCCTTTAATCTTCCAGACTCCACTCATTTCCCAAGTTCCCTAGGTCAGCACCTTTCCTCCCACCCCCTTCAATGAGGTTGTCTTACACGTTTATAATAGTTAGGTTTTCTTCTCACAGTCTACATCCCTTCCTGGAATTCCCCTGATTTCCTAAATAATATTTTTAATGTGCATGCATTAAGGTTCATTTTTTGTGAGGTACAGTTCTATTATTTATTCATTTTCAGCATCTATTTATTCCCCAGTCATTCATTGTTTATAGCACTCTTATTTCACATACTCAAACATAAGTTGAATTAACTGATGTTTAGAAAATGTCTCTAACACTGCATTAAAGTAAAACAATCTACAGAGAAGAATGAAATAGATAACCCTATCAGAGCTCATCATGAAACAATCCATGCAGCAGAGAAGTAAAAGTTAGCTCAGAGTTTCCCAGTGGCCAAGCTGATGAGAAGAAGCACAGAGCATCATAGGATAGATGGGTCCTTTTCTGCCCTGAACACTGAGTGGCAGCTCTAAGCGCTCCCTAAGAGGGTGAGGTAGCCGATGATTGACTTTGGATCGACGTGCAGACTCCCAGATGGAAGGTGTTCAAATGTAATGCTTAAGTCCAGAGAAAGCTGCGTTTCCAAGTCCCTGTGGTTGCTCCACGGTCTCTCCCCTCGACATTCACTCAAGCACATGAACTTCACTGCCAGCCCTGGCAACGAGCCTTCATGGTCACCATCATCAGGAAGGACACTTGAACATTTCTGTTACATTTGTGTTTACAAAATATTCCATTTGTTCTTCCTCTTCTCATGTCATGTCCACCTGGGAAGCCTTACCAGGCGTATGGTCATTCCCCTTTTACAGATTACCAAGCTGAGGGGGGAGAAAGGGCTTGATTTTCTGGTGACACACAGTGAGGACAATCCCAGGATACAGCTTTCTCCTCACTCCTCCAAAGTGACTCTTGCCATCTCCATCACCCTTGACTGCTTTGGGGACAGAACCCAAAGTAAAGCTAATCTCAACCTGAGGGTATGCACATGGGCTTCCTCATTTCTGATTCCTGTGGGAATCTACCTTAGGGGGACTGAGGTTTCAATATGGACTTTAAAATTCTCCAGAGTGTGGTAGGCCCAGGTGTTATTTCAAAGACTTGCACAGTGGTCCTTGGTCAGATGTTTCCTTTTGTCTTCCAAAGTCATTCATGGGTATCAATGTTTTCTCATACCTAATATGATCTTTAAATACCCGGAAACTAAGAAGAATAGAAGCTTATGAACAATCAGAGCAGGTGGTGTTCATTCTATTCCCTCTTTATTTGTGCACACTTATTCAGAGCTTTTTCTCTCTTATTTCACACACAATTCAAATGTCTATAGCTACTTGATGTCCAGGCCATAGCATGTTAGAAACATCAGCAGGAAGAGAGGCGAGTGGGCACTAGGAGAATGGGACATTAGGGATCTAAACTAGGAAACCATCCAGGAATATTTAGTTCAGGGGCAAAGCATCTCTGTTCACTTCAGCTTCCTTTGACAGTCTCAAGCACAGTGGCATAAATTGTGCTCTGAAAGATGCTTCCAAATTATTTTTTAAAATACAAATAATTTCCTGTATATTCTACTTGAAATGGTGGTGATTTGTAAAAAATATATATTTTTCGTTCAAAATGATTAAGATGAAATAGGTAAATATGTCAGTGTTTAACGTAGGAAAGCCTTAAATCTACGGAAAGCAAGATTACCCAGTATAACTCATTAACTCAATAAATATTTACTGTGTATAAATTGTACATCAGGAGCCAGGGGAAGGGAAATAAATAATATCGATCCCTGTCTTCAGGAATCTCAACATCTAATTTGAGAAACTGTCCCCGGGGGTCTAGATTGCTGAGGTTTTTACGGCATGAAAGGCTGATGGTTAAATCCTTTCTGCTCCGTGAGTCTTCCAGGACTCCTGGAGGTGAGAATCATTGAATCATGGACTTAAGGCTTGAGAAGAAGCCCCAAGAGTCCTATGTGAAGGAAGAAAGGGAGGGAGGAAGGAAGGAAAGTGGAAAGAACCCCGCTACTCAGCTGAACTTGGGCAGATGGAAAATACCAACGCTTATCCCAAACCTTCCGCTCTGTGGATCCATGTAAACTTAGGCAAACGCTATAAATAAAGGGGGGACTTTACAGATGGCATTTCTTCCACCATCAATAATTAGCAGTGTAGGTGTTATTATCCCAAGTTTATGGAGTAGGAAACTGAAGCCTCAGGAATCTAACCATCCTACCCAAGATCAGAGCTTGAGAAACCAGTCCCGGCTGGGGCTGGACATGAATCCGGGCCTGTCCCTATTTGGTGTGAAGTCCCAGGCACTTGTCACTATGCAACCTTACCTTCAGCCAAAGGAGGTTGGATTGATCAAAAAAGTGTCTGCAATAACATGGTATGAGAGGGAGAGGGAGAGAGAAAGGAAAAAATATCTTTAGGGTTCCTTTTCCAAGAGGCAAGTGCTAACTCCTCATTGATCCACGACTGGGTTTCTCATACATCCCCAGGCAACATGGCCACTCTGTTAGTCAGGGGTATGGTACACTCCAGTTGTGCAGTTTGAGGAGAGTTTAATAAAGAGACCATTTACTCAAGATATAGCACCAAGTAGGAAACCCACAAGACATGTGCAGTGTGCAGTAACCCAGGGCTAGAAGAAGGAGAGGGGGGAGGGGACAGTGATTGGGGTCAGGAGAGAGAGAGAGAGAGC